TGCACAAATAATATGTTGACGTGTATTGTTTGATTACGTGTTATTTTATATTTTTCTTCCTTTTTTTTCATAAAAAGTAAAATAAGCCTTGAATTTCCTCTAGAAGGTTCGGTCCTTGACGACGAGGAGAGCATGGCGGCACGCAAGGGCTAATAACTGGGAGCCAGACAGTTCGGAACTTTTCGAAGGGGACTTCGGGCATCAAGGCGTAGCGGCCGCGGGAGGAGTAACATTTCCAGAGCCTGGGAGCGTAGGAGAGGATTTCGATTAAAGATTTATACTTGAGGCGGATGCTGATGCGGGAGAGAGGGACGCAGTGCTGGGAGAGAAGGGAAGTAGGTGTTGGCGGGGTCGTCGAGGAGGGCAATGGCGAGGAGGCGGCACTTGGTGGAGATGAGGGTGGGGGAGGCGCGAAAGGTGTGCGTTTGGAGGGGATGAATTTGTTGGCCAAGAGCGGCGATAGAGTGTGCGTGATGTTGACGGAGGGGTCTGTGTGGATGTAGATGTTGAAGAGGTTGGAGGGGGTGTCGTGGAAGAAAAGGTCCCAAAGGGGGAGAAGTGGAGATCGGTGTTCGTGTGCAAAAGGAAGGCTATTATGAATTCATTAGAGTATTTTAGACTTATTTTTCAAACAAAATGTTTAAGCTTTATGTGTGGTTTGAGAATTCGATGTTGAGATTTTGATGAATAAAAATGGTTTTGGCAGGTGGGGTGGGAAATATGACAGGTATTATTGTTCCAGAGAGGAGAGAGAAAGAAGGGAAAGGTGAACAGAGGTGTTATTGTTTCTGGATTCTTATAGAGACTCTTGCGTATATGAAGGAGACGAAGGTGAATAGTTACCCAGAAAAGTAATCCTGATCTCATAGTACAAATATTTCAAAAAAAAAAAAACCAAACAATTTCCAATCTTTACCCATTTTTATCCTTTAGTAGAAAAATGTTCAATCAATTCACAACACCTGATTAAGAGTTACTAGGAGACAATGAAGGAGAGGACGACGTTGAGGAGNCAAAATGTTTAAGCTTTATGTGTGGTTTGAGAATTCGATGTTGAGATTTTGATGAACAAAAATGGTTTTGGCAGGTGGGGTGGGAAATATGACAGGTATTATTGTTCCAGAGAGGAGAGAGAAAGAAGGGAAAGGTGAACAGAGGTGTTATTGTTTCTGGATTCTTATAGAGACTCTTGCGTATATGAAGGAGACGAAGGTGAATAGTTACCCAGAAAAGTAATCCTGATCTCATAGTACAAATATTTCAAAAAAAAAAACCAAACAATTTCCAATCTTTACCCATTTTTATCCTTTAGTAGAAAAATGTTCAATCAATTCACAACACCTGATTAAGAGTTACTAGGAGACAATGAAGGAGAGGACGACGTTGAGGATTACCTGGCTGAGAAGCAGGAGAACGACGGCATCAAGGTCATAGACAGTGGAAGTGTCGGTAGTGTAAGAGCAGAAGGTGTCTTGTGCCACGTCAAACACTGATAATTTAAATAAAAAATTCCACATAATATAATAGTTTTACATCAGCAGACTAAGTGTGCACCACGTCAGCTCCTTTTAAAGCCGTTAGTGTCAACTTAACTGTTAGGGCAAAATTGGCTCAATTTTACAAATATTTGAACCAAATTGAGACCGTTTCAAATATGAAGACCCACTTGAGATTTCCGAACAAACTTGAGGATCATCCGAGGGTTTAAACCTTAAAGAAATAAAATAAAGAAATTATGATGTATCAAAAATATTTTTAGTTTGTTTGTTATAATTCTTTATTTTATATTCTGGGCTTAACTCATTTTTTTCTATAATAAGTAGAACACTCTATTGTATATCTACATAAGAGAGATTAATCTTATATATAGTTTTTCACTATATTGAGCATGGTAAGAGTCTAAGGTTATTTTAGGGAAAAAAATTGTTGCTTGCACCCGTTGTTACCAGTAACATTGTCTATTGCCACTACAAGAGTTTTCGACCAACAACCACACGATTTTGATCGTCTCAGCCAGAGGACCATCGTGCCTTCAACGACGTCTTCATTAGAGTTTTACGCTCTCTCAGCCCTTTTCTAATTTGTGGATGTGCTCCTTTTTTTTCGTCACACGCACATCTCGTTTTCTCTCAAGAAGTTATTCAGAGCATCAAAGTCGCTCTTTTTCCTCTTTTAGGTGTCTTGATTAGAGAATCTCGAATTTTTAGGTTTTCTCTCTCCTTTTCATTTGTGGCTTCGTCCACGGTCCCTTTTGACCTCTCTTTTGTCTTTGACTCGTCCCTATATGTTTTTTCTCCTATGTAAAAGATGGTTTTTGTTAATTTATTTATAGTCATGGTTACTCTTCAATAATGACCTCTTTATTCACTAAATGTCAACAATGCATTCTTCAATGAGGATTTACAAGAAATGATTTATATGGAGCAACCTTTCTGATTTGTTGCTTGGGAAAAGCCTCCTATATTGATATTTCATCTTTTATGTTGTCTTCACAAATCATTAACAATTTGGTGTCAATCGAGTGTAGAAACATGATATTTTCACTAAGTTTTTTTTTATTATATTAGTAAAAGGTTGTTGTATGCATTAACTTGAGGGATAATGTTATATATATTATATTATTAGATATCTTAGATAAATATTTTATCTGTGGTTAGTTTGTTATTATTTCTTATTTATATTTTGGGTTAGCCCATATTTCTTTTATTATAAATAGAGTTTATATATTCAACATAAGATAAATTAATTTCATACATAGATTTTCATTATATTCAATACTTACAAACTCCATTTTGTTGTGTTCAAGCATTTTAAAGATGAAAATGCGTGAAGAATTGGTATCAAAGATCACAAGTTCAATTTCTAGTAATCAACTATTGAGGAAGAGATTGTTTAAGATTGCATCAATTGTCCTGTGCAAAGATCAGACCAAGTCATAATTAAACAAATTGTTTCCCTTACTAGTGCAACAATTGCTTGTTTAAAGAGAAATTATTACGGTTTACATTGATTATGTCAAAATATTCATGTCAAAGTAAAATCAATTTTCAAGAAAATAATTACTAAAGAAGAGATTACAACAAGTTACATCAATTATCTCATAATAGAGATTATGTCAACTAAGTCACAATCATCCTTGGAGTTTTACTTATAGAAAAATTGTTGGGAATAATTGTAACTATTAATTATTGTTTTTAGCATGGTAAACACTTATCTTAACGTAATAATATAATCTTATAAAAATACAAGTTCACATAGTAAATTGAAAAAAATTCATAACTTTAAAACTCAACACTTTTTCTTTTTAAATGAGTTCAAATAACCCTAAGTAAATTCATACAAATACATCACTACAAAAAATTTCTTAGATAACAACTATTTTAATGATAAAAAATATGTTTAGAAATCAATTTTCTAATTAAAAATCAATTTAGACATTGATTTATTTGGTTAATGAAATCTTGACAGATAATACTAGTGAACTATTTTAAATAATAATTAATAATAAAAGTTATTTTAATTACTAATTTGGAATCCAATTATATTTTTTATTTATAATATAAACTATTTTAATTATCAATCTTTTAATTTATAAATTAATATTTAAATTATACAATGACTAATTATTTTTAATTACTAAAATTGATCACTATCTATCTATGAATTTTCTTGTGGTGCATATTAATAACAAATTTGGAATATTTAAGAGAGATCACCTTATTTCAAAATTGTTTAATTTGACACAACATAATTTAATGGACAACAATATTTAATTATTGATATTGTCTGAATCTGAATATTTTATATTTTACAATATAAAATATTTGTAACTAATTACCATAATGATAAACAAATTTAAAATAGTTGAAAAAAATTCGCTTTAATAAATTATATTTTGTTCGAGGACAGATTATCTTATCAAACAATAATGTTTCTATTAATTTGCAATTGTTTTTAAAAAAATCTGATAAGAATCAATCATGTCATCAAATTTATGAACATACTTTTTTCATTCAATTTAATTATAACATAAGTTGAATAATAATTTCATTCAAATTTATTAACATAATTTTTTTCATTCAATTTAATTCTTACATATCAAATTTATGAATCCATTTCTCAAATGAGGACCGGATGGCAAGCATTGGTATTTTTTTTCTAAATTGAATACACAGAATTTGAGATCACAGAGTCAAAAATCATAACACTAAAGTAATGATGCATAGCTGAGCTGTTGTTGTTCAATAGGTCAGAATTAACAGAATAAATAAATAAAGAAATAAATAAATAAACATCCATGTCTTGGCTTTTGTTGTTTAATGATGCTTTGTTCCTTTTTTTATCAATCCATGGGTTTCAGGTGTCAAAGCTAGAGGAAGAAATAAGATAGAGAAAAAAAAGAGTGTGTATGTGTGTGAGAAGAGAAAGAACGAGACCCTACATCGTTGACAAAATTAGGTAGTGACTCACTCTTCATTCTTCTAATTCTTTCTTTTTTTTCTTTCTTTCTTTTCACTTATGCTTTCTTCTCTTCATTGATTTTGTAGAAGTAATAATTATTAAATTAATGTTAATATTGTTATTATTATTACTAGAGCTCCCGCGCGCCTGTGATGCGTTGTGTTGCCTCAGATCCAGGCAACTAATGGTGGTATGTGGAAAAGGGAGTCATCTTTTTAGGGTTTCCTTGTGATTCTTGAGGCTTTACCTTTTCTGGGTTTCTTTCTCATGACCCATTTCTTCTTTCTTGTGTTTAGGGATAAGGGGTGTCTTTGTTTTTGAAATTTGTTTCCTTTTAACTGGTGGGGTTTGGTGTAATATGTTTTTATGCAGATAAAAGGTTGTGTTTTTGTTTTTTGTTTTTGTATTATTGTTTTCAGGCTGTTTCTCTCTCATTAGAGTTGACAAAGGTGGATGGGGTTGTAATGCTTGAGAAGGGTGTTGTGGCAATTGGCATAGCTATTTATGATTAACGTTTCCAAAAATGGAAGATGGGATGCTTTGATGTTGACTAGATCTGAGTGCCCCATTTCACTTTCACCACCTTTTAGCTAGTTCATGCTTTGCATCGCCTGAATTTGCTTCCCCTTTTGTCTTGTAGGGCTCATTAGGAATGGAAAATGCCACCCTTTCACATTCTAAGATCCTATTCAATCTCAAAAGCAGGTGCAAATTTAGTTGAAGTATGACAGGTTTTGTGATAGCAGAGGGGTGGGAGGGTAACTTTTTTTCCTACCTAGATAGGGATTTCAATGGAGGAGATGTCATTTGTGGTTGCAGTGCCATTAAGAGTAGGTAATTGTTGTTCAGTCTGTGATAACACAACCATAGTTCCCCACATGGATGTATCCAGGTTTAAGCTGATGGCGGATACAGGGTTGTTATCTAATTCTGTAACTAAGGTTTTCACCAAGACAGTTGCAGGTTCCGATGATTGTGATGATAGTGGCAATTTAGAGGATGAAGCTGGAATTACTGAGGTTATACCAGCAAAACAGGATAGAGAAGGAGAGAGTCCTATGTTAGATATGATATCCCAAGATAGAAGTACTTTGGTTGGTGATGAAGTGTTAGCCGATGAAATTGAGGAAGATTCATTATCATTGGAAGGTGATCAGGTTGTTGATAGCTCATGTTCTCTTTCGGCAGTCAGTGAGAACAGTAGTGTGTGTGGAGAGGAGTCCTTGTGTTTCGATGCTACTTCAGATGTTGGGACACCATTTTCTGCTTATGTAGATAAGAGCATTGGTGCTGTCAATATTGCTGCCGAGGCAGTTGATTTGGAGGAATCAAATGTTGACACAGATATTACAACAGAACCTCTTGCTGCGGCAGTGAGCCTTGAAGAAGAGAATGGAATTAGAACTGGCCCTAAGCCTTCTGATGCTGTTCTTCATCAATTGCCTCAGGAAAAGGGGGTGAGTGGAATGGTTGGTCGGAGTGTTTTTGAATTGGATTATACCCCACTTTATGGATTCATATCTGTGTGTGGAAGAAGACCTGAGATGGAGGATGCACTTGCAACTGTACCTCGATTTATGAAAATTCCTATTCAGATGCTAATTGGTGACCGGGTGCTTGATGGAATAAACAAGTGTTTCAGTCAGCAGACGACTCATTTCTTTGGAGTCTATGATGGCCATGGTGGCTCTCAGGTAAAATTCATTTTTTCTCTTTATCGCCATGATTCTTGTGTTCAATGATTTTAGCTTTATCTGTAATAGCCTTCATCTGGTGCATGCTTTCGTCATTCAGGTTGCAAAGTATTGTCAAGATCGTATCCACAAGGCTTTGTCCGAGGAAATAGAATTTTTCAAGGAAGCTCTAATCAGTGGAAGTATGAAGGAAGGTTGTCAACATCAGTGGAAAAAAGCTTTAACCAATTGTTTCATAAAGGTTGATGCTGAAGTTGGAGGGAAAGTTGATAATGAACCTGTTGCCCCAGAAACTGTTGGTTCCACTGCTGTTGTTGCTGTTATTTGTTCATCTCATATCATAGTTGCAAATTGTGGTGATTCAAGAGCGGTTCTATGTCGTGGCAAAGAACCCATTGCATTATCGGTGGACCATAAAGTAAGTTACTCCATTTAGAGTTACTTATCTCCTTTAATATTCTAAAATTTTAACAGGTGATTCGATTTGTGATATGTTAGCCCAACCGACCTGATGAATATGCAAGAATTGAGGCAGCTGGAGGAAAAGTGATTCAATGGAATGGTCATCGTGTATTTGGTGTTCTTGCAATGTCAAGGTCTATCGGTATGTACTTTTTAGGCATTTATTTTATTTGCAGTGTCGTGTGCAGACTAGTTTCAGTTTCATGGAAATCTTTATTTGCAATGCGTTTGTCATTATCATCTTACTTTACTAATGAAGAAAGCAGATGCTAATTTTTTCTTCCCTTTGTATTTTGTTGGCTACTGGAAATATGTAAATACCTAGACTACAGTAATACTGAATAGTTGAGCATCCTTTTATTCATCTTTTGACGAGGAAGCTATTTTGGAATTTGGGATTTCATCATCTGAAAATTAATTGTAGGTGTACTTATGTATTCAGTATTATTGTAGGACCATACAATTTGCTTGGATCACGGATGGTGAAAGAGATGGAACATGAAATGGTTGAAAGATAATTTAAAATTTAAGAATTTATGGAGTGGAATTGGATGTGTGGGGAATTATTCCCTCTGAAAATAACTTCTTCCCTTCTTAATTGGAATAATGAGAGGGAATATCTGTACATTCATTTAAAAAAGGTCTTCTACAACTTCACTTATATTGTGTTGCTTAGGTGTTCATATACATGAATGTTTGTGCTGACAAAAGTTTAACTTTCCCTTTATACCCTTATCAATCACCCAAGTACAGGGAAGAAAACTTTCCGATTCCATCCTGTTTCCTCTAGAACTTCTGAACTTAGCCCTTTGCTGTCAATCTGTGACAATTATTGAAAATATGTCCTGTTGAACCTAAGCTACAAATCATGGTGCTATAAGCTTCTCTACGTGTTATATATTTTGCTATCAAAATACCATTTTTTTTAAGGTTTTGTTAAGTCTAAGCCAAAGATGATTGCAGTGCATTCAAATGTTCAGAGTCCAGACGTAATTGCTTGAATATTATTAGTATAGTTGAAATAACTGAAAGACTTGTGTCTGGTAAGAGATTATGATTATTTTTGCTTGTTCAGATAATAAGGTGGTGGGAAATGTACTAGTATAGGCAAATTGTTTTGTTATATGAGGCCGAAGGGGTCGAGACAATTTTTGAAGTATTAACCCTATTGCCTTCTCTCAACCTCTCCCTTTCATGCTGCTCTTTTATGAGATAAATTAGGACTTTGACTAAGTAAAAGCCTGTTTTTTTTTTNAATCTTATATATAGTTTTTCACTATATTGAGCATGGTAAGAGTCTAAGGTTATTTTAGGGAAAAAAATTGTTGCTTGCACCCGTTGTTACCAGTAACATTGTCTATTGCCACTACAAGAGTTTTCGACCAACAACCACACGATTTTGATCGTCTCAGCCAGAGGACCATCGTGCCTTCAACGACGTCTTCATTAGAGTTTTACGCACTCTCAGCCCTTTTCTAATTTGTGGATGTGCTCCTTTTTTTTCGTCACACGCACATCTCGTTTTCTCTCAAGAAGTTATTCAGAGCATCAAAGTCGCTCTTTTTCCTCTTTTAGGTGTCTTGATTAGAGAATCTCGAATTTTTAGGTTTTCTCTCTCCTTTTCATTTGTGGCTTCGTCCACGGTCCCTTTTGACCTCTCTTTTGTCTTTGACTCGTCCCTATATGTTTTTTCTCCTATGTAAAAGATGGTTTTTGTTAATTTATTTATAGTCATGGTAACTCTTCAATAATGACCTCTTTATTCACTAAATGTCAACAATGCATTCTTCAATGAGGATTTACAAGAAATGATTTATATGGAGCAACCTTTCTGATTTGTTGCTTGGGAAAAGCCTCCTATATTGATATTTCATCTTTTATGTTGTCTTCACAAATCATTAACAATTTGGTGTCAATCGAGTGTAGAAACATGATATTTTCACTAAGTTTTTTTTTATTATATTAGTAAAAGGTTGTTGTATGCATTAACTTGAGGGATAATGTTATATATATTATATTATTAGATATCTTAGATAAATATTTTATCTGTGGTTAGTTTGTTATTATTTCTTATTTATATTTTGGGTTAGCCCATATTTCTTTTATTATAAATAGAGTTTATATATTCAACATAAGATAAATTAATTTCATACATAGATTTTCATTATATTCAATACTTACAAACTCCATTTTGTTGTGTTCAAGCATTTTAAAGATGAAAATGCGAGAAGAATTGGTATCAAAGATCACAAGTTCAATTTCTAGTAATCAACTATTGAGGAAGAGATTGTTTAAGATTGCATCAATTGTCCTGTGCAAAGATCAGACCAAGTCATAATTAAACAAATTGTTTCCCTTACTAGTGCAACAATTGCTTGCTTAAAGAGAAATTATTACGGTTTACATTGATTATGTCAAAATATTCATGTCAAAGTAAAATCAATTTTCAAGAAAATAATTACTAAAGAAGAGATTACAACAAGTTACATCAATTATCTCATAATAGAGATTATGTCAACTAAGTCACAATCATCCTTGGAGTTTTACTTATAGAAAAATTGTTGGGAATAATTGTAACTATTAATTATTGTTTTTAGCATGGTAAACACTTATCTTAACGTAATAATATAATCTTATAAAAATACAAGTTCACATAGTAAATTGAAAAAAATTCATAACTTTAAAACTCAACACTTTTTCTTTTTAAATGAGTTCAAATAACCCTAAGTAAATTCATACAAATACATCACTACAAAAAATTTCTTAGATAACAACTATTTTAATGACAAAAAATATGTTTAGAAATCAATTTTCTAATTAAAAATCAATTTAGACATTGATTTATTTGGTTAATGAAATCTTGACAGATAATACTAGTGAACTATTTTAAATAATAATTAATAATAAAAGTTATTTTAATTACTAATTTGGAAACCAATTATATTTTTTATTTATAATATAAACTATTTTAATTATCAATCTTTTAATTTATAAATTAATATTTAAATTATACAATGACTAATTATTTTTAATTACTAAAATTGATCACTATCTATCTATGAATTTTCTTGTGGTGCATATTAATAACAAATTTGGAATATTTAAGAGAGATCACCTTATTTCAAAATTGTTTAATTTGACACAACATAATTTAATGGACAACAATATTTAATTATTGATATTGTCTGAATCTGAATATTTTATATTTTACAATATAAAATATTTGTAACTAATTACCATAATGATAAACAAATTTAAAATAGTTGAAAAAAATTCGCTTTAATAAATTATATTTTGTTCGAGGACAGATTATCTTATCAAACAATAATGTTTCTATTAATTTGCAATTGTTTTTAAAAAAATCTGATAAGAATCAATCATGTCATCAAATTTATGAACATACTTTTTTCATTCAATTTAATTATAACATAAGTTGAATAATAATTTCATTCAAATTTATTAACATAATTTTTTTCATTCAATTTAATTCTTACATATCAAATTTATGAATCCATTTCTCAAATGAGGACCGGATGGCAAGCATTGGTATTTTTTTTCTAAATTGAATACACAGAATTTGAGATCACAGAGTCAAAAATCATAACACTAAAGTAATGATGCATAGCTGAGCTGTTGTTGTTCAATAGGTCAGAATTAACAGAATAAATAAATAAAGAAATAAATAAATAAACATCCATGTCTTGGCTTTTGTTGTTTAATGATGCTTTGTTCCTTTTTTTTATCAATCCATGGGTTTCAGGTGTCAAAGCTAGAGGAAGAAATAAGATAGAGAAAAAAAAGAGTGTGTATGTGTGTGAGAAGAGAAAGAACGAGACCCTACATCGTTGACAAAATTAGGTAGTGACTCACTCTTCATTCTTCTAATTCTTTCTTTTTTTTCTTTCTTTCTTTTCACTTATGCTTTCTTCTCTTCATTGATTTTGTAGAAGTAATAATTATTAAATTAATGTTAATATTGTTATTATTATTACTAGAGCTCCCGCGCGCCTGTGATGCGTTGTGTTGCCTCAGATCCAGGCAACTAATGGTGGTATGTGGAAAAGGGAGTCATCTTTTTAGGGTTTCCTTGTGATTCTTGAGGCTTTACCTTTTCTGGGTTTCTTTCTCATGACCCATTTCTTCTTTCTTGTGTTTAGGGATAAGGGGTGTCTTTGTTTTTGAAATTTGTTTCCTTTTAACTGGTGGGGTTTGGTGTAATATGTTTTTATGCAGATAAAAGGTTGTGTTTTTGTTTTTTGTTTTTGTATTATTGTTTTCAGGCTGTTTCTCTCTCATTAGAGTTGACAAAGGTGGATGGGGTTGTAATGCTTGAGAAGGGTGTTGTGGCAATTGGCATAGCTATTTATGATTAACGTTTCCAAAAATGGAAGATGGGATGCTTTGATGTTGACTAGATCTGAGTGCCCCATTTCACTTTCACCACCTTTTAGCTAGTTCATGCTTTGCATCGCCTGAATTTGCTTCCCCTTTTGTCTTGTAGGGCTCATTAGGAATGGAAAATGCCACCCTTTCACATTCTAAGATCCTATTCAATCTCAAAAGCAGGTGCAAATTTAGTTGAAGTATGACAGGTTTTGTGATAGCAGAGGGGTGGGAGGGTAACTTTTTTTCCTACCTAGATAGGGATTTCAATGGAGGAGATGTCATTTGTGGTTGCAGTGCCATTAAGAGTAGGTAATTGTTGTTCAGTCTGTGATAACACAACCATAGTTCCCCACATGGATGTATCCAGGTTTAAGCTGATGGCGGATACAGGGTTGTTATCTAATTCTGTAACTAAGGTTTTCACCAAGACAGTTGCAGGTTCCGATGATTGTGATGATAGTGGCAATATAGAGGATGAAGCTGGAATTACTGAGGTTATACCAGCAAAACAGGATAGAGAAGGAGAGAGTCCTATGTTAGATATGATATCCCAAGATAGAAGTACTTTGGTTGGTGATGAAGTGTTAGCCGATGAAATTGAGGAAGATTCATTATCATTGGAAGGTGATCAGGTTGTTGATAGCTCATGTTCTCTTTCGGCAGTCAGTGAGAACAGTAGTGTGTGTGGAGAGGAGTCCTTGTGTTTCGATGCTACTTCAGATGTTGGGACACCATTTTCTGCTTATGTAGATAAGAGCATTGGTGCTGTCAATATTGCTGCCGAGGCAGTTGATTTGGAGGAATCAAATGTTGACACAGATATTACAACAGAACCTCTTGCTGCGGCAGTGAGCCTTGAAGAAGAGAATGGAATTAGAACTGGCCCTAAGCCTTCTGATGCTGTTCTTCATCAATTGCCTCAGGAAAAGGGGGTGAGTGGAATGGTTGGTCGGAGTGTTTTTGAATTGGATTATACCCCACTTTATGGATTCATATCTGTGTGTGGAAGAAGACCTGAGATGGAGGATGCACTTGCAACTGTACCTCGATTTATGAAAATTCCTATTCAGATGCTAATTGGTGACCGGGTGCTTGATGGAATAAACAAGTGTTTCAGTCAGCAGACGACTCATTTCTTTGGAGTCTATGATGGCCATGGTGGCTCTCAGGTAAAATTCAGTTTTTCTCTTTATCGCCATGATTCTTGTGTTCAATGATTTTAGCTTTATCTGTAATAGCCTTCATCTGGTGCATGCTTTCGTCATTCAGGTTGCAAAGTATTGTCAAGATCGTATCCACAAGGCTTTGTCCGAGGAAATAGAATTTTTCAAGGAAGCTCTAATCAGTGGAAGTATGAAGGAAGGTTGTCAACATCAGTGGAAAAAAGCTTTAACCAATTGTTTCATAAAGGTTGATGCTGAAGTTGGAGGGAAAGTTGATAATGAACCTGTTGCCCCAGAAACTGTTGGTTCCACTGCTGTTGTTGCTGTTATTTGTTCATCTCATATCATAGTTGCAAATTGTGGTGATTCAAGAGCGGTTCTATGTCGTGGCAAAGAACCCATTGCATTATCGGTGGACCATAAAGTAAGTTACTCCATTTAGAGTTACTTATCTCCTTTAATATTCTAAAATTTTAACAGGTGATTCGATTTGTGATATGTTAGCCCAACCGACCTGATGAATATGCAAGAATTGAGGCAGCTGGAGGAAAAGTGATTCAATGGAATGGTCATCGTGTATTTGGTGTTCTTGCAATGTCAAGGTCTATCGGTATGTACTTTTTAGGCATTTATTTTATTTGCAGTGTCGTGTGCAGACTAGTTTC